CACTCGGACAGAGACGGAGAGTTCTCCTCCGGCCTTCTGCGAGCCTACTGTCGGGCACGAGGCATCCGCCAGACCTTCACGCTTCCGGACTCTCCACAGCAGAATGGGATTGCTGAGCGCCGCATCGGCATTGTCATGGACGTCGCCCGTACGTCCATGGTGCATGCGGCTGCCCCCCATTTTCTGTGGCCGTTTGCGGTTCGGTACGCCGCGCATCAGATCAACCTTCACCCCAGGGTCTCTCGGCCCGCGATGTCCCCAGTCTTGATGTGGACGGGGAAGGTTGGCGATGCGTCGGCGTTCCGTGTCTGGGGATCTCGGGCGTTTGTCCGCGACTTGTCTGCGGACAAGCTGTCCCCTCGTGCCGCTCCCTGTGTCTTCCTTGGCTTCCCCCCTGACGCCCCAGGGTGGCAGTTCTACCACCCCTCCTCTCGTAGTGTTCTGTCCTCCCAGGACGTCACGTTCGACGAGTCAGTCCCCTTCTACCGCCTCTTCCCCTACCGCACTCCTTCCCTCCCCCCTCCACCGGACTTCCTTGTGCCGGTTCCCCCCCCGGTAGACCCCCTCCCCCCTCAGGTTCCTGCTCCCTCAGGTGTGTCCCAGGTAGACGCCGTTGACCCGGTCGAGGTTACTGGTGACTCTGGTGCTGCTGCGGGTGCTGGGCCTGGGGGTGCTGCCTCTGGGGGTGCTGTGCGCGGGGGTGCCGGGCCTGGAGGTGCTGCCACTGGGGGTGCTGAGCCTGGGGGTGCTGGGCCTGAGGGTGCTACTGCGGAGGGTGCTAAGCCTGGGGGTACTGAGCCTGGGGGTGCTGAGCCTGGGGGTGCTGAGACTGGAGGTGCTACGCCTTGGGGTGCTGAGCCGGGGGGTGCTGTGTCAGGAGCTGCTGAGCCAGGGGGTGCTGAGTCTGGAGCTGCTGCGCCTGGGGGTGCTGCGTCTGGAGCTGCTGAGCCTGGGGTTTCTCCTGCTGCTGCGTCTCGCCGGGAGCCCCTCTCTCCACAGGAGCTGCGCGAGTGGTTTGCTCGCCGCTGGAGGCGTGCTGCTGGAGCTGGAGCTTCTTCGACTGTCGAGGGTGCTGGTCCTGCCGGTCCCGGAGCTGCTGGGCCTGCGGGTCCTACTGGAGCTGGAGCCACTGAGGGTGTTGGTGCTGAGACAGCTGCTGTCTGTCCTGGCGGTGGTTCTGCTGCTGGTGCTGCTGGAGGTCCTGCTGCTGGTGGTGCTGGTGGCGCTGGTGCTGTCGCTGAGGGTGCTGGTGCTGTACCTGCTGAGTCTGGAGTTGCCGCGCGGCCTCGGCCGTACTTCGTTCCGCTCCTGCAGCAGGTTCTTGGTCTTTCTCCTCCGGTAGAGTGTCCACAGCCTGTCCAGTCGCAGTCCCTGTTGGAGCCTTCCTCTCCACTGCCTGCTCCCTCTCCTTACACTGGGTTTAGGGTCTTGCTGAGCGTCGTGAGCCTGCGTCTCGTCCTGCGTCGCCTGTTCGTGCTGCTCGCACTAGTGGTCGCGGTTCGCGTCAGCGTCCTCCTCCTGTCCCTGGCACGCACCGGATGTCTCTGCGTCCGTCCACTGCTCCTCTGCGTGCCCCTTTGCCTTCTCCTCCTGAGTCCTCTCTTCCTGCGCTTGCCGACCCTGAGTCGGACTCTCTTCGTGCTGCCAGTCCTACTGTCACGCGTCTCCTTGCTACTGTCGTCACTGACCCCTCGTTTGAGTCCACTGCTGCGTCTGCCCTTGTCGCTGAGCTCGTCGACTTTGCTGCTCGCTGTCGTCTAGACTACGCTGCTAGTCTTGTTTCTGAGTCAGCGTCTGACTGTCCTCCGTCCGTCGGGGGTGATTGTGCTCTTGGCACGGACGTCCTAGAGGACAGGCAGGAGGAGTTACAGTGTCTAGCGGCTGCTTCACCTCATCTCGCGTCTGTACTGCTTGCTCCTGAGGGAGACCCGGATGCACTAGACATCCCGACTCCGCGCTCTTACGCGGAGGCCGTAGAGGGTCCCTACTCGTCTCAGTGGCAGGCAGCTATGGATGCAGAGATGGCTTCCTGGAAGTCCATAGGCACCTACGTTGACGCAGTTCCCCCTCCTGGGGCGAACATCGTCAGTGGCATGTGGATCTTCAGGGTGAAGCGGTCGCCGGGCTCTCCACCTGTCTTCAAGGCGCGGTACGTTGCTCGTGGCTTCAGTCAGCGGCAGGGAGTTGACTACTTTCAGACCTTCTCTCCCACCCCGAAGATGACCACTCTTCGGGTGCTGCTGCACATAGCCGCTCAGCGCGACTACGAGCTTCACTCTCTCGACTTCAGCACTGCGTTCCTGCAGGGTAGCCTGCACGAGGAGATCTGGCTGCGCCGTCTACCTGGCTTCACTGGGACTTTCCCTCCTGGCACCCAGTGGAGCCTCCGACGGCCAGTCTACGGTCTCCGCCAGGCACCGCGTGAGTGGCACGACACACTGAGGACTACGCTTGCGGCTCTTGGGTTCGCTCCTTCTACTGCTGACCCGTCGCTGTTTCTGCGCACCGACACTTCTCTGCCGCCGTTCTACATCCTCGTGTACGTCGACGACTTGGTCTTTGCCACAGCGGACACTGCTGGACTCGCCTACGTGAAGTCCGAGCTGCAGAAGAGACACACGTGCACAGACCTGGGTGAACTGCGCAGCTACCTTGGCTTGCAGATCACTCGGGACAGAGCACGCCGCACCATTACCTTGACTCAGTCACACATGGTGCAGCAGTTCCTTCAGCGCTTCGACTTCCAGGTCACTCGCTCTCAGCTCTGCCTTCAAATGAGTCCGTAGAGCCGAGTGGCCCGTATCCAGAGCTTGTGGGCTGCCTCAGGTTTGGCCTGTGGCGAGGAGTACTGGAAGTCGAAGCGCTGAAGGACCTGCTGCACCATGTGTGACTGAGTCAAGGTAATGGTGCGCCGTGCTCTGTCCCGGGTGATCTCCAAGCCAAGATGGCTGCGCAGTTCACCTAGGTCTGTGCACGTGTGTCTATTCTGTAGCTTCGACTTCACTAGAGTCAGTGCCTCAGAGTCAGCAGTTGCAAAAACCAAGTCGTCAACGTACACGAGGATGTAGACCGGCGGCAGCAAAGTGTCAGTGCGTAGAAACAGTGACGGATCATCAGTAGAGGGAGCAAAGCCAAGAGCCGCAAGGGTCATCCTTAGAATGTCATGCCACTCATGAGGCGCCTGGTGGAGACCATAGACTGGCCGCTGGAGGCTCCAGTGGGTACAAGGAGGGAACGAACCAATAAAGCCAGGTGGGCGGCGCAGCCAGATCTCCTCGTGCAGGCTGCCTTGGTAGGAACGCAGTGCTGAAGTCAAGAGAGTGAAGCTCGTAGTCACGCTAAGCGGCGACGTGCAGCAGCACTTGAAGAGTGGTCATCTTCGGGGTAGGGTAGAAGGTCTGGAAGAAGTCATCTCCCTGTCGCTGACTGAAGCCTTGTGCAACGTAACGCGCCTTGAAGACAGGCGGAGAACCCGGCGGCCGCTTCACCCTGAAAATCCACATGCCACTGACGATGTTCGCCTCAGGTGGGGGAACCTCGTCGACGTAAGTGCCTGTGGACTTCCAGGATTGTCACAGCATATGCACCTAATGCATATGCCATAACAATAGGGTGAGGGTATTGGCAGGGCTCTAGGTTGCTAGCACAAGAAGAATAGCTGGATGTAATAAGATTGAATAGAAATAGGCTGAAGGTGTAGAATGTGTAGAATGTAGCGAGGTGACTGTTTAGAATGGGGTGTAGAAGGGGGGAAACGGGATAAGAGCGGTTGGGATAAAAAGGGGAAAAGACACCGTGTTATCACTTGCATTCACATCTGTCTGCCTCCCATCACATGTTCGTGCGTTTCATGCGTGGTGTGAGCGTGTGCTAGAATTTGTGTTTGGTGTGGTTTGGATTGTCTGAGTGTGTGTGTATGTTATATGGCTTGAGCAGACATCTGAAGTAACGTCTCTGCTCGAGAGCTTTCCGACGAGCCAAGGATCGCTTCAATTGGGGCGTGAACGAGAAAGTTGTGATCGTTCGAAGTTATGGTTGTGGTGCGGCGACTATGGAATTTTGCAGGTTGACTCAATATGGGGTACAGACTTTTGGGGGTTGGGAAATTCGTCCCCATCACTGTAGTTGCTGCCAAGTGGTTGGGAGAAACCAAATTGGGTTGGCAAGTATGACCAACTTGGGTGAGGTGGATTGTGGAGGTTGAGAAAGTGACAAAAGTGAAAGTGGGGTTGCCTATGGAGAGGGGAATTGTATGGCATGGGGTTTCCTTGGTTGGGGACTCTCTTGGGACCTTCCCTCTCGTCCTCATCATCCCCTCCCACCTGGTTTATTGCTACTCTAACTCTCTTGTGTAGTAATTTGTATAATTGTGAGACTCTCATCATTGAGTTAAGTTCTCATGGCAGCACACCCCCCTTTGCGCCGAAATTGATAAGTCGAGATTTACTTCACCACTTGATACGATTCAAATTGAGAATTGTTGCCATGGACTAGGGCTACAAAATATCTGAGTTTGGTGAAGTTTTGACTGTGAACTTTTCGTCGACGGCGTTTCTTGTGAGCGCGACTGTTCTGTCCAGAAATTGAGATATTTCGGCTGTGAACGCGACCGTGAACGATTTTGTGATATTTCGGCTCCTAATCTTCATAGACTCCGTCCTTAGTCTCTAACATGGGTAAGGGCACTCACGTCCAACCCGTTGAACTAGTGAAAGTTGCTATCTTTGCTCTAGCACACTGAGGCATGTCACTAAGAGGGAACCTACGGGTTGAGGGACTAAGCTCTTTCATTACAATCTCAAAAGGGAGCAGTAACGAGCAGAGTAGATATGGATAAGTACGAATTGCATTGGGGTAGGATGTTCAGCCGCCGGGAGGAGGAACGGCCGTGACGCGAGCCATCATGCGAACGAGGGCGGTCATTGGAGCGATCGCTGCACCGCCCGGCCTTTCGCACGGATCGAACCCCTCTCGCACGGGACCATCGAGAAGAAGGATCGATGGGCGTGGGAGTAGGCGACGACGGGCACGACGGCAGCATGGATAGAGACGCTTTGCTGCGAGAGAGAGCACGCGGACCTGGCGAGGACCGTGGAACCTGCCGCGATGCAGAAGTGTTCCGCTCTCCGGAAGAGCGAGAGCGGCGCCGCGATGAGAGAGGCTGTTGGCGAGGTTTCGGGGAACGTCCCCAGGGACGGGGAGGAGACATGGGTGGCGACGACCCAGTGGGGATCCGGCAAGAGAACGTGGCAGCGGAGCAAGGCGCGGAAGAAGATGAGGAGCACCCGGGGCTGCAGGTCAAAGAGGCCGATGAAGGAAAGGACGGCGACGACCAGGCAGCGGGAACAGGTGAGGCTGAACCCGCGCAGGCAGACGAGAGCGCTGGCGCGAGCCAGGCGGCAGCCAAAGAATCGAGGGCCGCGCCGAGGGAAGCGCGCGACCGAGACGTCAGCCGTGGGGAAGAGCAGCGAGCAAAGGGCTTACTGCGCCAGGAGCAAGTGACGCCAGACGACGGCGTTCGAGCTGCACTGGCGCAGAGGCTGCATGGCAAGGGGAAGGCAGAGCGGTCGTGCATGCTGGAGAAGGATCGGCACCATGGAGAATGGCGCGTAGGCAACTTCCGCCGTATGGTAGGCGACAGGAGCAGGACGGCTCGAGCGGCGGCGGTGTGCGTTCGCCAGAACTGCAGCAAGCGCGCAGTGGCAGAAAGAAGGATGAGTCGCGCTCACGGGAGCCGCACGGGCGCCGCGGTGGCAGGAAGGAAGGCACGAGGAGGAGCGGGGGTCACAGGAGCGCCGCGGTCAGCAGCACGGGGAACACAATGGCATGGGGCGCTCACCGGGTTGGCTGAGGCGAAGAGAAGAGAGGGATAGTAGTGGGTCCCGCTCGCCCGAGTGGCGCCGCCCGCAGAGGGAGAAGTACGGAAAAGAAAGGCACTCGCCAGAGCTCCACCAGCAGCGCAGCAGGAGGGAAGGCACCTGGTCACCGTCACCAAAGAGGCAGCAGCAGCGCGGCATCAGGAGGTGGGAAGGGCGGAGGATGCACGACCCGCCCACGCAGCAATGGGGACGGGCGGAAGAGTGGGCAGGGCCGAGGGAAAGGCACCGCGGGGTGGAAGGTAGCTGCTAAGAGAGCAGGGCGGAGGGCGTAAGCCTGGTGTACGGCGCAGAACGGGCACGGGAGGCAAGAGAAGGCATGCAAAGGGCAAGGGAGAGAGGAGCTGAGAGACGCTGGCAAAGGGGAGCCAGTGAGGCATGGGGAGAGGGGCGAGGGGGTGTGGCCATCACCCCGCGAGTGGAGGTGCCCGCCAGGTTGCGGGGGGGATCAGCGCGCGGAGCCTACCCTCAAGAATTACCTGATGCAGATGGGGAATGTGCGGTACCGCTGCGACAAGACCCGGTGGACTTCTTCATGAGCCTACCGAACACATTGGAGGGAGAGGCCGAGACCCTGTACTGCATGAGGATGGAGGAACTACTCTGGAGGGCAGGGAGGTACGGAGAAGACCCCACCGAGGCATTTATGGAGAGACTGCAGCGGCAATTCCCAGGGCACACGGCGGAGCACATAAGGGAATTCCAGAAATTTAGGAGGGGCCGGATGGAGTCATTGCTGACCTACTACAACAGATTGATTAACGTGGCGGAAGACGTGAGATGCACGGAGAACAGCCTTCTCATCAGCAAGTTCCTAGGAGGCCTAGAAGATGCTCTTGGGGGGGGGTTGAGGATGAGAGTGTATGAGCTGGGCGCGGAGGCAAGCCTAGAAGAGGTGTTTGATCTGGCAGAAAGGGTGGAGCTCGCACAGAGAAAGTACGAGGCTTATCTGCCTAGGCCAACGGAGAGAAGCAGGAGGCCAACGTGGGCAGCAGCAATGATACCAGAAGGGAGAGGAAGAATAGAGGGGCGTGCGGAGATAACTAGTGCAACGTGAGCTAGACTACAAACTAGGCATGGGGCAAGAGTGATCGTAGCGTTCGTTCGTTCCTTAGTCGTTTCCAAGTGCTAACATTGCTTGCTAGTTCACGGGGAAAATTGGCAAGAGTTCCACTAGGAAAACATGACAACAAAAGTTCAGAATGATTGAATCAACATTGGCAACACAGACTACATCAGACCTAGCAAGGCTGCTGGTCGACTGCCAGCGCAGCACGGTCGACCGCGTGCCAGCACGACTTGGTTGACCGCGCTCCAGCAGAGCAGAGTCGCGGCTTGCCAACGTTGCCAGTCCGCGGTGTGCTAACGCTATAGTAAGTCGGCTGCACAGCGTTGCATCCGCGGGACACCGGTGCACATGCTTCGCAGGTGCGTGCAGCTGGTTGGCGCCCAACTCCCCGCCACATGCCCAGCGCAGACACTCCACCCGTGACGGCGCCCACCAGCCACGTCGACCTCGGGATACCACCCTCATGGTCGTCCTCGCAGAGAACACCCCCGGCGACTTTCACCCACATCGCCCGACTATCCTGGTCGACCGGGTATCCCACGGCCCTTGTGGCCCCGGTCCTCCATCCGCGGCCACTGCGGTCCCGTGGTTGCCCCATAGCCCCGCGGTCCCGCGGTTCTCCCGCGGCCCTCCCGCGGTCCCGCGTCTCCCGCGGTTCTCCCGCGGTCCCGCGGTTCTCCCGCGAGTCTCCCGCGGTTCCGCTGTTCTCCCGCGGTTCCGCGGTTCTCCCGCAGCCCCACGGCCCTCCCGCGGTCCCGCGTCTCCCGCGGTTTCGCGGTCGGCTCCGCCCAAGCGAGGACGGGGCCAAACACTACTCCCGTTGACACTCCCCTACCGCGTTCACGCTTGGGTCCCCCCCAACCCACACGGCAGCACTGCTCAGAGAATAGCCCGTCAGCGTGTACACAACGCACAGCACGCCAGTCACCGCACCAGCCATGCGAGAGGGCATGGCACCTACTGCTGCACGTCATTGTCACCGTTGGCCACATCGGCCAGGCGCACTTGGCCGATTGCAATGGAGCACCGGTTGAAGGCCGGGTAGTGCAGCGCCTTCGTCGGCTGCTCGGCGGTCGGGATGTACTGCAGCGAAAATTTGCTGCACTTCACCATGTGCTGCAGCCAGGCCTGTCGCCGCTCCATGTGCTTGAGGTTGCCCGTCAACCCCATGCCCTCGGCGACCGTGATGGCCGGCTTGTTGTCCACTCTGAGGACAGTCGGCTTCCCAGCGTCCAGCCGCTGGAACTCCGCGAGGAGGAAGCGAAGGTGACGTCCCTCCTTGCCGGCTTCGAGGGCCACCACGTACTCCGACTCGGTCGATGACAGCGTTGCGCACTTGATGCGCTGGCTCGACCACGAGACCGCGGCCCCTCCGTGGACGAACACGTAGCCGCCCGTGCTCATCCGGTTCTGCTTGTCGCCGGCAACGTCGGCGTCCACGTAGCCAACCAACTCCAGTAACTCCGCACCACCGCCGAACTCCAAGGCGGTGTCTCGCGCGTTGGCCAGGTAGGCGAGGCAGCGGTCGACTTTGCACCAGCGCTGATCACTCCTCACCGTAAGGCCGCTCCCCGGCTTGCTGCACGAGAATGCGATGTTCGGCCTCGTCATCGTCGCCGCGAACTGCAGCGAGCCAACCTTCTGCTGGTACTCCTCCTCCTCGCGTTCCTGCGCTTCCTCGTCGTCGAATGTCTACTCCGTGTAGGCGGCGACGGAGATTGGCGTCTTCGGAGTGCGCCCGGTCTGCTCCTTGTCAATGAAGCACCTGCGCAGCTTGTCGGCGTAGCCCTGCTGGTGCAGGCACAGATTTCGCGCCGGCGTGTCGCGCACGATCTCCATGCCGAGATCCTTCAGCACTGGTGAAATTTTGCACAGCTCATAAGCGGCCTCCAGCAGCTCCTTCAGCTCCTTCAGCATCGCGATGCTGCTGCTCGCGGCGAGAAGGTCGTCGACGTAGACCAGCACCCAGCAGGTCATCTTGTCGTCTCCGGCCTTGAAGTACAAAGCCTCGTCGATTTGGCTCTTCTTCCACCCGGCGCCAACCAACACGTCGTTGAGAGCCGTGTACCACAGCAGCGGTGACTGCTTCAGCCCATAGAGGCTCTTCAGCAGCTTGCACACCCGGCCGGTCCCGTCGTTGAAGTAGTCCGGCTGGTACATATACAGCACGCGGTCAAGCTTGCATTGCAAAAAGGCGTTTCTCATGTCCAGCTGCATCAGGTTGAGGTCGAGGAAGGCGACGATGCTGAGAAAAATCCTCAGCGTGACGTAGCTACTTACCGGCACGTACGTCTCATCGTAGTCAGCCCCATACACCTGCCTGAAGCCTTCCACGACCAGCCTCGCCTTTTTGCGCTCGACAGTGTCGTCGATGTGGTACTTCGTTGTCAACACCCACCGGTTCTTCATTATGTTCACCCCCGGCAGGCGTTCGACCAGCTCCCAAGTGCCCATGTTGATGAGGCTACGAATCTCTTCCTCCATGGCGGCCTTCACCGCCGGGCCCTTCCATCTCGCCAACGCCTCCTTCACCGTCATGGTCGAAATGTCCCAACGGTGCTCGGGATCGGCGTGCATGTCAGGGTCGAGCTCCGAAAACTCCCCATCGTTCTTGACGTCAGCGTACGCCAGGTCGTGGTCGTCCACATCGTAGACCGTGGTGAAGGCAGCGGGGACGAAGAAGTCGGGTGGCCTCCGAATTCGGCTCGACTTCTGAGGTCCGGGCTGCACCTCCACCACGTCGCTCGACGTGCCTTCATCGAACTGCTCCCCTGTCGTTTGCTCCTCTGAAGCGAGCTCCGCGTTCGACGGCTCCCATGTCGACGGCTTCTCTGAAACGCGCTTCGCGTTTGACGGCTCCCCTATCGACGGCTTCTCGGAAACGCGCTTCCCGTTCGACGGCTCTCCTATCGACGGCTTCTCTGAAACGCGCTTCCCGTTCGACGGCTCCCCTGCCAAGTGCTCCGCGGTCGGCTTAGCTGCTGCCTGTTCCCCTGTCAGCTGCCTGCTAGACGCGGGCTCCTCAGCGGTCTCCTCCGAGGTCTCCTCCGCGGTCTCCTCCGCGACCCGCTTCTCCGCGGCTGGCTGGGCGTCACGTCGGCCACCGGCGATGCTCTCAGCTGGTGCCACAGGCGATGCCCCACGGCTCCCCTCATCGCCGGAGGCCGACACCGAAGTCAGGCCACCCATTTTGACGGGAAGGGGACGGGAAGAAGGGGCAAGGGATCGTGAGGCAGGGGCGACCGCGGCATTCTCATGCGCCTGCTCACCGACCTCGGCGAGCAGAGGAAGCGTCGCCGTCGAGGTGTCTGTCGGCGGGGCGGCCCGCATCCTGGAGGGTAGGAGAGGATCCTAGGACAAGGTTGATGGAAGACCTGTTCTGCATCATGGAGTGGCTGCAGGAGAGGCAGGGCAGGATGGCATACTTTCTAGAAAACCCGGAACTGGAAGGAGACAGTAGGGAGCCGATCCGATTAGTGAGAGAGAGAATCAAGGGGCAGCTGGGGAAAGGGGTGAGGTGTGATGCGGCCAGGACCGGGTCCTAAGCATACCGGCTCAGGATGTATTGGCAGAATGTGGTCCTGGCCATGAAACTGCAGGAAAAGATGAATGGGGTGCAGCGAGCAATGGAAAGAAAGGTGCAGGACATCATGGCACCAAGGCGGACCCCAGCACCGGTGTGTCACAAGAGCTACCACAGACACTATCCTTGCAACCAAATTGGGCAGGAGAGACGAGCCCTGCCTACCCTGGTGGCGTAGGCGGGAGCGGCAGGGTACAAGTGGGAAGCAGGGCGGGCGGGGCCGGGCATGGTGTATGATCATAGGAGACGGAAATGGGAGGAACCTACGGCACTAGAGCGGGAGCTGGCTATGGGGTACAGGGAAGATGCAACAGCAGCCCCAGGGGTGAGCGAGGCAGACAGAAGGAGGGCTTTGGGGAATGCAATGGATGGCCACGCCTTGAGGTGGCTGATCCAGCGGATGTGGCGAGAGACGGTCGTAAGCTGGGGGCACGAGGAAGGGGAGGGAGAGGTAGAGGCAGTGCCCCGGGGAGCGTGGAGCTGCAAGGAGAAGGAGGAGGAAAAATGGGTGGTGGGAGAGGCGATGAGCAAGGAGGGGAAAGAGGCCATGCAGGAGCTGTTGGCCAGGCACAAGAAGTGCTTCGCCTTCACCAT